CTAGCGAAATGGATGATGAGGCCAAAGAGCAGGTGTAATGCAGCTCTCCCAACACTTCCTCCCGTGAAACAAACACCCCTAAATGTAGTCAGGACTGTGCAGTGTGGGATAAGCTGACTGTATTCTAGGATGGATATGGATTATGATAGCAATAGGGAGATAACGATACAGTCTTTGCACATCAGAGTGTGTGACCTGAGACCCTTGCCTGCGCCCCCCGCCCCCATTGGTGTTGTTTGGAAAGTAAGCTCAGCCTTTGAGCTCCGAGTCCCTTCTACTCAAGTCTCTAAGGAAGTAAGGCTTATACTTTATTATTATTTCTTTTCTTTTCTTTTTCTTTTTTTTTAGGGCTTATTCTTTCATACTCAGCATGTTCTGACGACAGACTCAAAAAGATTAGTTTTTGTTCTTTTCAGCTCCTGTAAGAAATATATAAATTCGTACTTCTAAAAGATTAATAGTTAAGGTCAATAATTATCTTTTTCTATTTCTTTCTTTTATTTATTAATTTTAGAGAGAAAGGAAAGGAGAGGGAGAGAAAGAAAAAGAAAGAGAGAGAGATCAATTTGTTATTCTACTTGTTTATGTATTCGTTGGTTGCTTCTTGTATGTATCCTGACTGGGGATCGAACCTGCAACCTTGGTATATCGGGACGATGCTCTAACCAACTGAGCTACCTGGCCAGGGCCCAATTTTTTCCTTAATAGAAGACGTTAAGACATTTAGTAATGTCAGCCATATGAGATCATTGAAATCTTGCCCTAGTTTAAAACCTTTCCTGGTTCTTCAATCTTCGACATTCAAGTTCCACACACGAGTTGCATAAAGGCATGTTCAGTAATGGAGAGAGTGAATGGAAGAGTGAGAGATGGTCATTAACATAATCCAGGGGACACTGAAATAATCTAAGTCAAGCCATTTTTCTTATTCCTTTTCATCGTTCTATGCCAGTAGAACCTTTATGAACAATGGATCAAATCCCCTTTTCTCCTTCATCCTCATTAGAATGTTTTCCAACACATTCTAGTTTCCAGAACCATCGCCCCCTCCCGGCCCAGGCTCTTTAATCTGCGATTGTCAGAAAGCGTGTACACTACAAGTGTGCATTTGGTGAGACAACAGTCTGTTGTGTCAGCATACCAAGGGGCTGTTCTTTTGTGTTTTCACTCAAAGTGCTTGCCCGTCTTCCTCTAATAAGGCCTTACTATATCATACATCATCATGCATATTTCATGTGCCGGATGCTCAGATGTTCTTTGTTATTGTACTAAGCAGCACCGCCATGCATCTCAACGCAGCTGAAATTAGACAGAGAGGTGACCTTCCTAATATACTCTTTTGTAGACACAATAGCTCGGGAACATGATCTGACTTGACTTTCTATTATAATTCTGACGAGGAGCGACTGATAGAGACACATGCTGAGATCTCATTTTTAAACGGGTCCCTTCTATGTGGTTTACTTGGCAATTATTGAACTTGCCAGTCAGCCACTGATTGTCTCACGCAGGTAGTCCTGAGTTTTAGCGCCCACTCCCCATAATTCCATTTTTTAAAGATATATTTTTATTGATTTCAGAGAGGAAGGGAGAGGAAAAGAGAGATAGAAACGTCAATAATGAGAGAGAATCATTTATGAGCTGCCTTGTGCATGCCCCCTACTGGGGATCAAGCCCGCAAGCCGGGCATGTGCCCTTGACCGGAATGAAACCCGGGACCCTTCAGTCCACAGGCTGACACTCTATCCACTGAGCCAAACGAGCTAGGGCTGGATATGCCAATTTTAAAAGAGAGAACTTTATAGTGTTATTCAAATGATGAATATTTTTTCTGAAATTCCTTAGGGGCTAAGAAAATGGGATATTTATCTTGTGTAAGATGTAGACATTAAAACACTTATCGGCTGAGGAGCCCATTAAAAGACATTATTTTATAAGAGCAAAATTTCTAGCTTAGTACACATACGGCCTTAAGAAGGGACAGAGTTTTACCTGAAGCATTTCATGCTGTTTCAAAAGCATGCCTGCTTTCCTTTCAATCCATTTTAAAATACCACAGTCTCTATATCAAGTATGTGGGAATCTTGCCCTAATCACAGCCCCATTTTGAGAGAAATCAACTGTGCATATTATTTGGGGATTCAGTCCCAATTTGGCTTAATCAAAGAAAATGCAATCAGACCAGCCAGTGTGGCTCAGTGGTTGAGCGTCGACCTATGAACCAGGAGGTCATGGTTCGATTCCATTTCAGGGCACATGCCCGGGTTGTGGGCTCGATCCCCAGTGTGTATCGGGCGGGGGGCAGGGGCGGGAGGGAGGAGTGTACAGGAGGCAACCGATCAATGATTCTCTCTCATCACTGATGTTTTAATCTCTCTCCCTCTCCGTTCCTCACTGAAATCAATAAAAATCTATTTCTAAAAAAAAAAGCAATCAGTTACCATAATATCTCCTAAAGCAGAGTTTGGCCAAGTTTTTCTCTAAAGGGCCAGATAGTAACTATTTCAGTCTTCGTGCTCACAGGTCTGTCACTAGTGCTCTAGTACTCAACTCCGATATGGTAGAGAAAGCATCCAATCAAACTCTATTTATAGACTCTGAATTGGAATTTCATAGGATTCCCTTTCTTTCTTTCTTCCTTTCTTTTGGTTAATGCTTACCCAAGGATATTTTTCCATTAAATTATTGTGGGGTGTTTGTTTTTTTTAAGAAACGTGGAAGGGAGGGGGAGAGACAGAGAGAGAGAAACATGTGTGTGAGAGAGACACATCGATGGGTTGCATCCCACGTGCGCCCTGACCAGACTGGGGATCGAGCCTGCAACCTAGGTACATGCCCTTGACTCACAGGGTTTTCATGTGTCACAAAATAGTCTTCTTTTATTTTTCCCAGCCCTTCCAAATGGCAAGAAGCATTCTGAGCTCATGGGCTGTGCAAAGCCAGGTGGCAGGCTGGATGGACTGCAAGCTGTCATTCACGACCGCACTGTTCATTGGTTCCCTTATTTTAACAAATATTCATTGCGCTACATTACATATAAGGTCCTGTGAAGACTTCTCTTTAAAAAGATGCCATTTTCTTCCATAATGCAGCAAACCAGAAGGAAAATAATCTTTCTACCCTGCTGGTGTGGCTCAGTGGTTGAGCATCGACCCATGAACCAGAAGGTCATGGTTCAATTCCCGGTCAGGGCACATGCCTGGGTTGCGGGCTCCATCCCCAGTAGAGGGCATGCAGGAGGCAGCTGATTGCTGATTCTCATCACTGATGTTTCTATCTCTCTCTCCCTCTCCCTTCCTCTCTCCCTCTATAATAAAAAACAACAACATAATTTTTATTTTAAGAAATCTTTCTAAAGGCCCCCTGGAAGGCCCGCTGGGAAGTGATGACATTTCAGATCGCTTTTGCTCTGTCTCTGTCCTGCAGCAGGCGATGCAGTCACAGCAGACACACACACAGATATTTCATTCCTTCTATCCTCCCGGAGGCACAGGCATCAAGAGGGCTGATCACAGAGGCGTGTGCCCAGGGGGAACACGATGACGGTGTGACCTGCCATCAGGCCCAGGCATGGCGCTCCAGAATGCCAGCCAGCCCCCCCGGCCCGGCACAGAGCCTGCCTGGATGAGCTATGTCCCTGCTCACAGCCACGCGCGTCTCAGAAGGGAAGGGGTTGCACATACTAACAGCGCGGCTCCCGCCCAGGCAGGAAAAGTCAGAGCCACTCCCGATGCCTGTATTCCGGGGCCACAGGAAGGTTGGAGCTAGACTTCGCTCCCAAAGCGGGGGCACCCTGTGCCCTCCGCCCTGTGCCAACATCCTTGGCGATCGGATGCCCAGGGAGGACAGGCATGGCTTTCCAGCCAGCCCCGCAGACTCCCTTGCTACGCCTGGACTCATGTAGGGCGACTCACTATCTTAGGATTGAGGGTTTCCCAGGTCACAGGCCTTTCCATGCTGAATCCGGGAAGGTTGGTCATCCTACAAGTCAGCTTCCTCTACGTCTATTGCTCTATCTTCTTTCTTAAAAATATATATTTTATTGATTGTTTGCAGAGAGGAATGAAGAGGGATAGAGAGTTAGAAACATCGACCAGCTGCCTCCTGCACACTTCCTACTGGGGATGTGCCCGCAACCCAGGTACATGCCCTTGACCAGAATCGAACCTGGGACCCTTGAGTCCTCAGGGCAACGCTCTATCCACTGAGCCAAACCGGTCAGGGCCTATTGCTCTATCTTCTTTTCCTGCCCCTGGTTCTTCCCAGGATGCGAGACCGGCTAGTGCTGCTCTGTGAAGCGGAGGCCAAATAGGCTGGGGAGGGGGACCACGTCCGCAAAACCCCGGATGCTCCTCTCAATGCCTGGCCCCAAGCACAGATGGGCTTTTGGTGATAAGAGCGCAGAAGTGGTAGGAGGTGCCCTTCTCGGGTTAAAGGGTCCTCATGATTGATTGCATCCCTAATAGGACAGGCACAGCTTCGCTGGCAAAAAGTCAAAAGACCCCTTTTGCCCCAAATGCACTGACCAGTGCGACTCCCGTAGGTCCCCAAGGAGATGCTAGGCCAGTGGTTCTCAACCTTCTGGCCCTTTAAATACAGTTCCTCATGTTGTGACCCAACCATAAAATTATTTTCGTTGCTACTTCGTAACTGTCATGTTGCTACTGTCATGAATCGTCATGTAAATATCTGATATGCAGGATGGTCTTAGGCGACCCCTGTGAAAGGGTCGTTCGACTGCCAAAGGGGTCGCGACCCACAGGTTGAGAACCGCTGTGCTAGGCCAACACTTGAACATCACACGCAATATATGGCCTGGTGCCCGTTAAGAATATCACGTAACAAGTTATTTACACCTGTGATCAAATGAAACCAATCAATCAAGCACATTTTAAACTGTCCTAGCTTTGGCCCCATTATCACTTTGCCTTTGGCCGATGACTTTAAAATTCAGTAATGAATTACTCAGTCACGTTTGAAACATCAGGGAACTATACGTTTTCGTTTCCGTGAGATTCCGTATGTAAATTACTCATCCCTTAAACTGAATCCAGGCAGGGCATGTTGATCTCCTTGGTTATGGACTGTCAATGTGTTAGCAATTTTGGAAGGAAAAACACATGGATAGGGTAAGAGAGATGGGAGTCAAAACCAGTTTGAGCTGAAGTGCATGCATTCTGAATGTTAACGCAACACGGGGTGAGCGACGGGGTGTTCTGTGTTTACGGAGCACGTGTCTTTTCATGTTAGAGTTCAGCGTCACCGGCATTTTCCAGGTGAATGTGTGTGTGTGTGTGGGGGGCGGGGGGGGGGCGTGTTTCCGCCCTAATGGGCCCGGGCAGCCCATCCTCTGCCCAGTGAGGCCTCAGCTGTGCAGCCAACTTCTCAGCGGGACCCCGCACAGGAGCCTGTCACCCACCTGACCAGATCGATGACCCGCTCCCTCGGCGCAGCGCTGACTGACTCATCATTAATCATTACGATCTGATCTCCCGGGATAAGCTTGCCTTCCGAGGGGCCACCTGGAGATAAATGAGAGTGAAGTGCGGGTGAGAAGACCGTGGTTAATCGACCCAGCGTAGCCTCCTCTTCTCATCGTGGTTCACGAAGAGCAAAGGATGCCAAATGGGGCTCTGCTTCTGTCCTCAACCCTGGCTGCACATTACAAGGAACTGGGCTTTCTGGACCAGCCCCAGGCCTGGGTGCAATGAAAACAGAACCTTTCGCCCGCCGGTGTGGCTCAGTGGTTGAGCACCGACCCATGAACCAGGAAGTCAGTGGCTCATTTCCCGGTCAGGGCACATGCCCGGGTTGCAGGCTCCATCCCCAGTAGGGGGCGTGCAGGAGGCAGCCGATCCATGGTTCTCTCTCATCATGGATGTCTCTCTCTCTCTCCCCCTCTCCCTTCCTCTCTGAAATCAATAAACAATATATTGTTTAAAACCATCATCAAATTCATTAAAAACAAAACACAAATGATGTTCTTGTACTTGACTGAATAATTGAACACGTGACACCCAGAACATGGAACTCAAAGCGATTCAGTTGTTGTCCACCCAGCCAGCCACCTGGCACAGGTGGCACTCAAGTGGGGGCATAAACTCTCTCCTTTCTGGGGAGTCAGAGAGAGGGACAACCAGAACATGTCCCCACAGTGTGAGGGACAATAGTCATTTCAAGCTGTGGAGCTGACAGTCAGCGCCCACACATGGAATTCTGACAATCACACGGGAGATGTTTTCTTGCTGCTGGATATGCAGGCAATCACTCCAATTCAGTCAAACGAATGGTTAACATTCAAAATGTTGGTCAAATCCAGACAGATTTTCAGGATAATTGTTTGAATCATAGATGCTAACTACTCTGATACCAGAAGCACTCGCAGATGAATACGACATGCTCTTACATTTGACCTATGCTTTTTAACCAGATGGAAATATTATTGTTTAATCAAGTGACTTGAATCAAAAATTCTAGAGGGAGCAACATAGAGTTCCTTCCAAGATATGAAGTAGTGGCATACATCAGCGAATTGTCACCGGCCCTCTAGTCTGAAGGCCGCGCTGTCTGGCATAGAAAATCTGGTCACGCCACTGAAATCACCAGGGACTTCAGCAGAGTCAGTTTTATGAGAGACACAGTTGATTTGACCAGCATTTTCACTCATAAAAATGACTGGAGACAGTACTCTTTGACCTGTGTTTTCACTTTGTTCTACTCCTCTCAAAATTGTCTAGCTGTAGGTGTTAGCGTCTGCAGCTAAGGAGCTCTGGGGCAAGGAAGGGTTGAAGGAACAGTGAGGTAATGCAAGAAATTGAAAAACTTGAAATCTTGAGGCAGCTCCCGGGAGAATCTGACAACCAGAGATGTTAAAATAGCCCACTATTCAAAACAGCCTGCTAATGTGATTGCACCTAGGAGAAAATATGGGTATGTACACACATAGAATACTACACATATGTACATGATACATAATATATGTGTGTGTATGCACACAACTGTCTTCCATACGCATGCTCTGTGTGTACATGGATAATGCTCAAACCTCAGTAGGAGGTGCTCAGATGATTTGTTTTTTGCATGTTTTCTTCTATACTATCTACTACATTGTATTGTTATAAACCATATGTGTTGTTTTTATCATAAAAAACAACAGATCTTTTTTATTTTGAGGATAATATTCTCAGCTGCATCCAGCTCAGCCACCCCACACAGACAACTAAAGTACAATCCACAGCTAATGAAATCAAAAGCTGGGCAGAAGAAGTCCGAAGTGGCGAGGCAGTGGTAGGAGGGAAAAGGAAACTTATTCTTCTCTGTGGGAGTCGAAAGTGGTTGACTTTTTTTGGGTGCTTGTCCTGGGGCATATTATGTCCAACTAGAGGCCCGGTGCATGAAATTCATTCACAGGTAGGGTCCCTAGGCCTGGCTGGAGATCAGGGCCTATCTGTGGGGCGACCTGCGGGGTGATGGGGGGCCCCCCGGTGGCACCTGCCTTGGCTGGCCTGGCACCACCGATTGCCAGCCCTGCCACCGCAGCTGGGCTGGGGTCAGCTCCTGCCTTGAGCGTCTGCCCCCTGGTCGTCAGTGCGCGTCATAGCAACCTGTTGTTCCGCTGTTCGGTTGATTTGCATATTAGGGTTTTCTTATATAGGATAATAAGATATAAAAATTTAAGTCAAAAAAATGTATACTAGCTCACTAGTTGCTTTCATTTCCCTAAACTGACAGGCTCAGCTGGTCAAATATTTTAGAGTTTAAAATAATAATGATCATTATGGAATAAATATATACCTGGCCCTCTTCTAATGCATTTCTTTCTCTCCCTGGCCCGGTAAGGCAGATATTATGATTCTCATTCTCCAGACAATGTAGAAGAGTTACGTTAAACTGAAAGGCAGGGGAGTTCACATAGAAGCTAAAAAATCTAATAAGGGGGCAGAGGCAGGGTTCAAAGCCATCAGACCCAGGCAGTCTGATGCCACAGCCTGTGCGCTTCACTACTGAACCCTGCTACTTATTTGCAAAATCGCAGAAGCAGCAACTTTCCTTTGGTCTGAAGATAAATCCATCGGAGCCCGTTGAAATAAGTACATAAATGTGTATAATAAATCATTACTAAAAAGAGCATTGTTTCTAAAAGGGAAAAGACAGCCCATTGCATCTTTATATTCAACTGTGTTGATAGTGGAACATCCGTATAGTCCAAAGAGAATGTCTGAGCAAAGTCCTCCTCATTGGAGGAGACAAATGAGGCGAGCAGATTGTAGAATTTATGAGATTTGCCACACACTCTATGGGCCAGTGTTTTTTTTCCCCCCCCCCCTTAAATCTCAGTAGAGTGTCCAATAATCATTCCGTTGTGGGTCTTCAGGGAGACCGAGATGGGCTGCTCCAGGCCAGCCTCAGTGGGCCCTTCTGTGTCGCACTGCAGACCAGGGAGTACTTAGCTCCAGGCTGTAGGCTGGCTGCCCCCCGAGTTCATTCTGGGGCTGAGGCTGAAGGGGGAGCAGCCCCTTGAGGGACATTCCTATGGCCATGCAGGAACCACAGAAACAAGCTCAAGCATATTTCCAACTTTGGCTTATGGCACCCTCGCTAATATGCCATTGGCCAAAGTCAGTCACCTGGTCTCACTTAACAGCAATGGTGTCAGGAACTATCTTCTGCCCCTAGTGGCATCCGTGTCAAAGAATCCAACAACATCAGTGAGTAAACCCTACAGTAACTTAAACGCCGCTGCCTGCTTTTGTCACGGAGGCGTTTGTCATGAGCTTACAGAAATGCAGTAGGTGCCCGCCTCTGGTTATTCCTCTTCACCCACTAAGCAGGGGTCCTCAAACTTTTTAAACAGGGGCCAGTTCACTGTCCCTCAGACTGTTGGAGGGCCGGACTATAGTTTAAAAAAAAACTAGGAACAAATTCCTATGCACACTGCACATATCTTATTTTGAAGTAAAAAAACAAAACGGGAACAAATACAATATTTGTATTTGCATGTGGCCCGCGGGCCGTAGTTTGAGGACCCCTGCAAGGAGTGGGTCGTTTCCATGGTACAAACGATGGATGTGTTTTCCTAAACGGAGCCATCTAATGGGTTTAGCAGTCTAAACCTTGTTTCCATCGCCATTCCTGTCCCTCTATTCGTCTGACTCTGTCCACATGCTGGGAAAATTCACTAGCCCTCCCAGCCTCGAATGGAAATTAAACTAGCTTTCACAGCCTGCAAGGAGACTCGGGAAAATGAACAGTAGGCATCCCTGCAGAGGCATGACGGGCAGTCCCAGGAGGCCGAGGGCTGGGGTGGGGGGGCGGGGGGCGCTTACCTGGTGTCACTGAGCGAACGACCACTGGCTTTTCACTCCCCGCCACGAAGCCGAATCCCAGGACGGGGTCCCTCCGCATCTCCACCTTCCGCGGGGCCGGGGGGATGATCTGGCAGCTGTCCAACCGGGGGTCATCAAATGGGATTGCCTGAGTCATGTGACTGTGGGAGAAACACACACAAGAGAGACGAGGCATCAGTGTCTGCGGGCCGTGGCCCGGTGATTTCATCCTCTGCCTTTTCAAAACCTCCTACTCTGCTTGGTAGAAGAGCGCGAGAGAGAAACCTCCATGTGAGAGAGAAACGATGATCCGTTGTCTCCCATTCGAGCCCTGGCCAGGAATCGAACCTGCAACCTTTCGGTGTTTCTCTGGCTCCTAAGGAAGTCTTCACTCAGGCGCATTATCCAAGGCAGCCTTATTTGAGGGTAGAGTTCTTAGTTAGAATTCTAGAAATCTCCTTAAAGCAATGTAAGCCAAGGTTACATTGATTATTTCAGCGACACAGACTTAACTCACTATTTTCTCTCTCTAATCTTCTTCAGTAAGTAAAAGCACATCATTTTGAACGAAATACCTGGAAAGAGGCTACTCTATCTGCCATCTGGACAACATATCATTCCGATGCAATGAAGAAAGACGGAGAAGGAGGGTTCTGCTGTCCTCGTGTGTAATTAATAAGAGTTAAGGAAAATCAATGGCAACCCTCCAGGGTCTGGCCTTCAGACACATCTCTCTGACCAGGGCAATCAAGTTCAAAATCTCTTGGAAACGGAAACGTCTTTTCCACTTAGCAGCTTTGATTTGGAACGTCGGGGAAAAGAGAGCGTTTGCTGAGATCTGACACGAGGGCCGCGTGCTGACGGTCATCTGTCATCCTAGTTCATTTTCCGAAAATCCCCTTCTATGGAGCCCATTGACCCCACCCACCTCCTGTCCGCAAATGACAAAAGGAAGAATAACTAGGCCAAGTTCACTCTTCTCAGGTGTGAGCCAGGTGCAATTCCCACCACATCTTCTGATTCTAAGCCAGTGGTTCTCAACCTTCTGGCCCTTTAAATACATACAGTTCCTCATGTTGTGGTGACCCCCAACCATAAAATTATTTTCGTTGCTACTTCATAAGTGTCATGTTGCTACTGTGATGAATCGTCATGTAAATATCTGATATGCAGGATGGTCTTAGGCGACCCCTGTGAAAGGGTCGTTCGACTGCCAAAGGGGTCGCGACCCACAGGTTGAGAACCGCTGTTCTAAGCGTTAAGTACTTGATCAGCTAGGTAATTTGCAAGAACAGTGCAAAATGAAACCGTGGGGCCCCTTGTGAACACACAGTTAGGAACGTCCAGAGAGCTGAATGTGGCCTTGTGTCAGTGCTTGGGTCATGCCCATGAAGCTGGTCCTGGGGGTGTGCTACCCCCAACCATTCTAGAAACAGCCAGGCTCACAGGCGAGGGGCTGTCTTAGGTGACATGGCAGGTGTTAGCCTGGGCCCAGAGAGGAGACATGGCTACCGTGGCGGCACACGTGCTTGGCAGGAGGGGACGTGGGCAGACCGCAGGGGGGCAGGTCACATGGAGAAGCATGGTCCTCCAGCCCAGCCTGTGTGGCTCAGTGGTTGAGCGTCGACCTATGAACCAGGAGGCCAGGGTTCGATTCCCAGTCAGGGCACATGCCCAGGCTGTGGGCTTGATCCCCAGTGTGGAGCGTGCAGGAGGCAGCCGGTCCATGATTCTCTCTCATCATTGATGTTTCTATCTCTTTCTCTCTAGAAGACTACCATACTTCTTTAATATATATATATTATATATATATTAAATATATTAAATATATATATTAAAGAAGTATGGTAATGTGAAGGACAGAACTCAAGACCCTGATTTAACCAGCAAAACCCATCCAGAGTGAACCCCGGTGTCCAGGGTGGGAGCCTCAGACAGGGCCCAGGCAGGGAGGGGCTGAGATACAGGAAACACGTGGGGAAGTCAGGGCTGGGAACCAGGACAGCGGGAGGACCTCTGATGTCCCTACAGCAGCCCGTTGGGCGGGAACTTGACCTCTGACATCGCCCCCTGACATCGATCCCTCTCAGGCCTGAAACAGGCGGGGCTGCGTGTGCCTGGGGGAGAAAGGGGCCCCCCCTTGGGGTGGTAGCCCTCATTCCATTCTCTTGCCTCCTCTGTAAGAGGTCCAGCTCGGAGCCACCTTGGGAAATGAGTCTCTCCTTTTATCCCGGGATGGAACAAAGGAAAAAAGGGACGGGAGAGCCCCATTTTTGGAGCCTGGCCCTGAGCTCTGAGTTCGCACCATAGTCCATAGAAGACATGCTCTACATGAGCACAGAAGTGAAGTGATTCGCTAATGGTCGCGTGTTGAAGAACAGAGCACGGAACTCTAGTGGGCGGAACTGTCAATTCCAAGAGTATAGAGGGCCTGGGGCGACGGCTCCGCTGCCATGGCCAGTCCTGTGAAAAGCTTCCAAGCTTTTCCGAAGTTGCCAGGCTTGGCTGCGCATTACAGTCACCCAGGAAGCGTTACAAAGTCCTGATGCCCAAGTTTCACCGCAGACCAACCACATCAGCATAGCTGAGGGCGGCAGCCAGGATCCATGCTTATATATCTTTATTTTTATTGTTGTTTTTAAAATATATTTTTATTGACTTCATAGAGGAAGGGAGAGGGAGAGATAGAAACCTCAATGGTGAGAGAGAATCATGGATCTGCTGCCTTCTGCACGCCCCCTACTGGGGATGGAGCCCACAACCTGGGCCTGGGCCCTGACCGGGAATTGAATCATGACCTCCTGGTTCATAGGTCGATGCTCAACCGCTGAGCCACGTCGGCTGGGCCAGGATCAATTTTTAAGAATATTCCCCAGGTGATTCCAAAGTAGAGCAAGGTTTGGGGACCATTCTCCTGCCCAGGAAAGGCTGGGGTCCAGTCCCCCCTCTAGATTTTAAGAGGACACAAGTGATGAGTTCCTCTAGCATCCATCAGAGAGGTAAGTGAAAATACTGGAAGCATCTGTAGCTTCATTACCCTCTTGCCACTACATGCTAGTCTGCAATTTTTAATTCCCCATTCATAAACTCTCTATTATATCATTATTTTAGTAATACCCGGCACTTATTAAATACTAATTTCATGCTATGCATTTTACGAAATGCTTTCCATATGTTAGTTCATTTAATTCTCCAAAACAACTTCATAACGCACTCTTTTCATTAACACCTATTTCTTGCACGCCCACTGGATTCTCAGTTCGGGGGATACACTAGGAACGCAAACAGAATCACAAAATAATTTGTTCACTCCAGTGTTCCGAGGCAGAGACGAAGCTAATAAAGGAGTAGGATGTATGGCCTATCAGGTCATTACCAACACGAAGGAGAAAAATAATGGGGGAGGAAGCGTAGAGAGCTGCTGGGGGAGGGGCAGGGGGAGGGTACCGCAGTGTGATATCAGGGGTCAGGGAAATGCCTGAGGAGGAGCCTTTCCGGCAGTGGGACCCCCAAGTGCAAAGGTCTGGAGGGGTCCCAGGCCTGGAGTGAGCATGCGTAAGGGACAGCCCAGAGGCCAGTAACAGGGGAGGCTGGAGGCAGTGAGGGGGGACGGGTAAAGAAGTGTTGGGGGGAGCCCGGCCGGCATGGCTCAGTGGTTGAACATTGACCTATGAACCAGGAGGTCACGGTTCAATTCCTGGTCTGGGCACATGCCCGGATTGCTAGCTCGATCCTTAGTAGGGGGCATGCAGGAGGCAGCCAATCAATGATTCTCTCTCATCATTGATGTTTCTCTCTCTCTCCCTCCCTCTCCCTTCCTCTCTGAAATCAATACAAAAAAAGGAAGTGCTGGGGGGAGATCAAAGGTCACACTAGCTCTTGGAAGGACTCAGTGTATTGCTGTGAGTGAAGTAGAAGCCAATGGAAGGTTCTGTGTGAAGAACGTGATAGCTGCTGTACTGAGAACAGACAGGAGGGGGCGCTGGTGGGAGCAGGGAGAGCACTGCAGGACGCACTGCATCAGTCCTAAGGGAATAAATATCACGCTGGCTTGGACCAGGGTGAGGGTGGCAGAGATGGCAAGGAGTTGTTGGGTTTTTCACATGTAGAGGCGGCTGTGACAGAGCAAGGGGGGGAATTTCTACTCTGGAACCTTCTTCCTGCACACACAGGGCGTCCCGGTAAGGATAGATCTGTGAGCACGTTGTCTAATGCAAGTCCTATATCCTGATGTATCCAAATTACAGGAGACATTTCTCTCCAAGGAGCTAATACTTTCGTGTTTGCACAGGAAACATAGACATGCTTGGGCCTAGGGCCCAGTGGTCGGCAAACTGCGGCTCGGCAAACCGAGCCACATGTGGCTCTTTGGCCCCTTGAGTGTGGCTCTTCCACAAAATACCGACTTCTGCGCATGGGCCACGAAGTTTCAATCGCACTGCATGTGCACGCCCGCACGTGGTATTTTGTGGCAGAGCCACACTCAAGGGGCCAAAGAGCCACATGTGGCTCACGAGCCGCGGTTTGCTGACCACGGTTAGGCCAACCTGAAGTCCGAGATGCTAGTTCAGAGTGAGACTTGAGAGCCAGACTCCCTGGATTTGGAGCTGGGCCCCATCACCTCCTAGCCCTCGACCTGTACAAAGTACTACATCACTCGGTGCCTCAGTTTCCACATCTGGAAAATGGTGACAATAATAGTAACAATCGCATAAGAAGGTCGTGAAAATTAGATGAATGAATAAATGTAAAGCACTTAGCAAAATGTCTGGCTCACAGTAAGCAAAAAGCACTAGCTGTTCTTTTCATCTCTTGAGGTCCATGAATAAAAAGGAATAGGTTTCAGACATCATCCACTCATTCAATCTTGTTAAAATATGAAAACAAACTCAATAACGTTTCAAATACCTAAGCCCAATTCTCAGGGAAATGCCTCACAAACTTGGCGTAAGCTCCGTGAAGCAATATGTCCGCGATTACAGGAGACAGGAAGCAAGAATAAAATGCACTCTCTGGAGAATGAAGCGCTGTTAGTAAGTTTTCCTCAGCCATGTTTCTGGATCACTTCAGTGAGCGCTGAGTCCAGGGCTGGGGAGTGAGCCTGGGGCATGGGGAAATAAGCCAGTCGGAGAAAGATAACTATCACATGATCATTTGCGGA